TCTTAACTAACATAATTAAAACTACCCATTGCTTACTGTGATGAAAATACTATCACTCCCAACACTGGAAGTTTTTAAGAAGATGTTGGATAGCCATTTGTCTGAAACAGTATAGGGTTTCCTGCCTAGGCAGGGGGTTGGACTAGAAGACCTCCAAGATCCCTTCCAACTCTGCTAATGTATTGTACTGTACATCAGAAGTCCATGAATAGGTCTTTAAGGGTATTTAATGTACAGAATGGCAAACACCAGTGGCTGATAACTAACATTTTCTTCAAAAGCACAACAAAGATTTTTCTAGTTTTTATTGTGGCACAAATCATTGGTCAATTACAATTCCCACATTGGTATTCCGACAGACTGGGAAAATAAATTAAATAATTTATTAGTTGATTAGCTTTGCTGGCTGAGGAATTCTGGGAGTTGGAAGTCCACAAGTCTTAAAATGGCCAAGGCTGGAGACCCTTGCTCCAGGCCAGAGCAACGGTCATAAAACCCCAAGTGATCACGTGATCACCGAATGTTGTGTGGACACCTGACCGCAGGACACCGCGATGGTCTTAAGTGTGAGGAGCAGTCACGAGCCGCTTTTTCCAGAGCCGTCGTAACTTTGAATGGTCACTGAATGAATGCTTGCAAGTCAAGGACTACCTGCGGTACATTTTTCACAGTGTGCACACTCTTCATTTTCTACATGCTGGAAGTAGCTAATGCTACTTTCATGGCTGCAATTTCAGAGTGGTAAGATGGTGAAAGATAGGAAAAAAGGGGGGAGGCAGGTTCATAGTGTCTCCTGTTGTCCTTCCTTCAAGCAGCTTTCCCAGATATTCTGTTCCTTACTCTCTATTTTAACAGCCTGCAAGCAATTCGGCTGCAATTGACAACTGCTCAATTAAACCGAACTTATAGCCAGGGACAGGCAATTGTTTTGGACTCAAAGCCATCTTCTACTGCAAAGCATATCTAAGCACGCACAACCAATTCATAACCCCTGCAGTGATCTTCATACATGCTGGGCTAGGAAATAGAATAACAGAGTTGGAAGGGACCTTGGAGGTCTTCTAGTCCAACCCTCTGCTTAGGCAGGAAACCCTGTATCATTTCAGACAAATGACTATCCAATCTCTTCTTTAAAACTTCCAGGGTTGGAGCACCTACAACTTCTGGCGGCAGGTAGTTCCACTGATTAATTGTTCTCACTGTAAGGGAGTTTCCTCCTCAGTTCTAGGTTGCTTCTCTTCTTGATTAATTTCCATCCATTGCTTCTTGTTCTGTCTTCAGGTGTCTTGGAGAACAGTTGGACTCCCTCTTCTTTGTGGCAGCCCCTGAGATATTGGAAGACTGCTATCATGTCTCCCCTAGTCCTTCTTTCTCTTAAACTAGACCTACCCAGTTCCTGCAACTGTTCTTCATATGTTTTAGTCTCCAGTCCCCTAATCATCTTTGTTGCTCTTCTCTGCACTCTTTCTAGAGTCTCCACATCTTTTCTACATCGTGGCGACCAAAACTGGATGCAGTATTCCAAGTGTGGCCTTACCAAGGC